AGTAGAGGAGAGATTTTATCATTTGGTATCGTGTTCCCTTCGTGTAAAATTGAACGCTTGCTTTGCTCCATCGTCTATTTAACTCTCGAACGTTGAATGGAAATATTAATAAATATATGAATATACTGTATGTATGTTAGTAATATTTATAATTAATAATTATTGTTATAATTAAATAATCTGTATTGTAATACACGTTATAATAAGCATATTACAATATATATTGTATATATTATATATTTGTGTAATATACAAATATATATAATATTTATATAATATTTTTATTATATAGTATATCATTATATCATTATATATATATTTTTATTATTTTATATATTTATATATTGTATATTTATATATTGTATATTTATATTACATTTTTATCATTTTATATATTATATTGTATATTTATATTACATTTTTATAATTTTATATATTTATATATTGTATATTCAGATTATATTTTTATTATTTTGTATATTTGTATATTTATATATTGTATAGTTATATAATATTTTTATATAATTATATATTGTATATTTATATTACATTTTTATTATTTTATATATTTATATAACTGTATACTTATATTATATTTTTATCATTTCACATATTTATATATTGTACATTTATATTACATTTTTATTATTTTATACATTTATATATTGTATATTTATATTACATTTTCATTATTTTATATATTTATATATTGTATATTTATATTATATTTTTATCATTTTATATATTTATATATTGTATATTTATATTATATTTTATTATTTATTATACATTATATATTTACATTATACAGCATTAATTTACCTTTTTTTCTACCGACTAATTTAATTACAATTTTTTTTATAAAAGTACCAACTTCCACTCTCCTGCTCATGCCAATCATTTCAGCCACATTCCTCTACGAGCTTCGTATCTAGTTTCTCGCGAACGAGCAGAGTGAAGGAAAGGTGAAAATTGTTCACAACGTCTAACAATGGCCGGAGACGTTATTCCATCGAAATATTTTAAAACGCCGGCGAACGTTGCAACACGGTGATGCTAAATCTATTGGACCCGCTGGCGTCCAAGGTATAGAAGGCGACAGCGTGGAACTGCAGCCGTCGTGTTAAAAATTAATGAAACGGGACAGGCTGAGACGTGTGCCGCGGTCAAACAGAAACAGAGGTAATTTCTCTGCAAGAAGGGAAGTACAGAACGGAGTACAGAAAGAAGAGTTCGGTTTAATAAAATATTTCCTTTATACGTTTGTAAAATTAACGAGGGAAATGACGTGGCAGACAATGGAAGCTTAGTGTTTGAAGTTTGTTTTGTATGTTAACAATATTGTGTATACGAATTTAATATTTAATATATTAGCAATATATATTAAATACTATTAAATAATATTAGTAATATTAGTAATATACTATATATTAGTAATATTAGTATATTAGTAATATTTAATATTATATATTTGTAATATATTAGTAATATTAGTATATTAGTGATATACTATATATTAGTAATATTAATATATTAGTAATATTAGTAATATTTAATATTATATATTAGTAATATTAGCAATATTTAATATTATATATTAGTAATATTAGTAATATTTAATATTATATATTTGTAATATTAGTAATATTTAATATTATATTAGTAATATTAGCAATATTTAACATTATATATTAGTAATATTAGTAATATTTAATATTATATTAGTAATATTGGTAATATTTAATATTATATATTAGTAATATTAGCAATATTTAATGTTATATGTTTGTAATATTAGTAATATTTAATTTAATATATTACTAGTAATAATATTATTATATAGTAATATATAATAAAAATATTATATTATAAAGTAATCTATAATATTAAATTTAATAATATTTAATAATATATATTACTAATATTTATACTACTATATTAATATACTCTACTCTATACTATCATAATAATATACTATTGTAATAATATACTGTACTATTGTATTAATATATTATATTATATACTATACTATATTAATACACTCTACTCTATATTATATATACTATTATAATAATATACTATACTATTGTATCAATATATTATATTATATAGTATAGTATATTAATATACACTATATACTATTATTTACACAATAATATAAATCATATTACTGTATTAATATAGTACAGTATTGTACAGTTAATGGTAATATAATAACCATATTACCATTAACATATCGATGCAAAATAAATTCTCCCTAAAATAAATAAATTACTCGATAAAAATTCTTCAGCTAAATTCAAAAAAAATTGAATTTTGATAACTTGCGTCTGGCTCAAATTATATCAAATCGCCATTCAACGACTCATACATCCCTCCTACGAAACGTTCCAACGATGTTCTCCACGCGCGAGAACAAAGGTTTTGATAATTTAGTCCGCGAGAGTCCTCGTCACGAGCAGGAAATCGCGAATTCGTTTGTCCGATTTGAAATACAATCAAGTATGATTGAATCTGGTTGATTCGCGTTCGGAAACAGTAATGTCGCGCCAATGACGCTCGTTTCGAGGACGTTTCAGCAGGAAGTCGTCACGGTTGTCGCTTATCTCTCGACGGATAACGCGAATGCTCGAGCAACACGAATCTCGAAACCACGAGTCATCACGCACGGTGAAACATCGCGCCGAGGATATTCAGCTGCCGAGTGAAAATCTGCGAACAATTGCGACAAGCGCTGTCCGTCAATGAACAACGAAACTTTTCGAATTCTTACGGCTGAAATCAACGATTCTCCAATCCGTGTCTTCGAAAAGATGCTTTCTTGCTGTTATGTTGTAATTAATCATTAATTTTTTTATTAATTTTGTACAGAATTACATTGTATTCTATTCTATATTTTATTACGTCACTACACTATTGATATAATTAATAATAAACTAGTAGTATTATATTACTATATTATAATTCCGTTGTACACAATTATTTGTACAATAAATTATTAATTAGACACAATTATATTGTTATTGTCTATTATATACTATTATTATATGTATATTGTCTATTATATACTATTATTATAATACATAATAGTATAATA